ATAAGAATCTTCTAAAAGCAGTTTCTAGAAAATACTTAGGTTCTACGAGTAAGCCCCTATTGTGTAATGTTTCACTAGATTTGTATATAGAGTCGGTACGAATTTCAGTATTCAAGACAAGTGGGTCAAGAGAAGGTACTCTACCAGTAATCCGTGGCTTCGGGTCTCAAGTGATCCTTAAAGTAGTCAACAACTATGCCTTTTCAATATCTAGAGGAAATGGGTCACGATTCCATACGAATGTGTTTAGGAAAATACTTAAAGGAAATTTCATTTCTTTTTGAGTAATTAGCAATATTTCATATAAGCTTTTTATAAAGATGTTTGATGGATAATTATCTGTTATAGGCCAAAGGTTAACAATTGCCTTGTAAACGAAAATAAAAATGTCGTTTAACTTCAATTGAACTCGAAATAATAAAATAGATATTATGTGAATCACAATCTTCGTAAGAAACGTAAATAAGTTTTTTTTTCTTAAATTCTATTATCGTTTTAGACTTAAGCTAAAAAAACGAAAGAGAATATATAAACGAGACTTATATATACTATGTAAATATGGAGCGGCGGATTGTCGCTTACAAGCGATCTCTTCCAGGCAACCCAAAATATTCAATACCTGTAGATGCTATGTATAGTCGTAACTCTTTATGTTACGCAACAGTTTTTATTGTAAAATCTCGAATTAAATATTTAACACTGTGATTGTGGCGTCAAGTCTGACCAGGCAAAATTAGTTTGAAGCTAAACAAGTTAATCAAAGCTATTGTTGAGTTTAGTAGTCCAATACTAGAAGTTCATGAGTAAAAAAGAAATTACTTTAGTATCTAAAAAATCATTAGTTTACAAGAGAGATAACGAAGTAAAAGAGGTCGAATCTAGGAAGGAAACCGCCGATCTATCTTCCCCGACATTTATCAAGCTGCAAACACCTCATGAATTGCTTTACCTGCTTCTAGCAAAGGTCGGAGGTAGCTTCCATTTTATATGAAGACGATTCCTAGTTCTGGTGGTCTATATTAATTATCATTATTTATCCTAGCTGTTATCAAGAAAAGGAATAGAGCGTTTTTTTTAAGAACATTTTCAAACATTTTGCATTGTATCATTAGCTTTTCTAAAGTACTTTTAAGAAATTTAAGAGACTTCTCCCGGTCTCCCCGTGACCACGGCTGCTACAAAGAAATTGGAAACGTCGGGGCGTAATTAAAATATTTATTACATAAGTTTAATTAATACATATCGCTTTTTAAACCTTTATAATGTTTTAATTAAATAAATATATCATTAATTTCTCTAATAGGTATCTCTATGACTAAATAGTTTCAATTTTTTTGAAGCACTACTACGGAATGTCAAATAGTAAAACATCCCGTTCTAAGTTCGAGTTCCAGAGAAACGATAGTTTGTTTCGGTCGGGCAGGGCACAGAAGTCTGATCAACTACTTGCCTTTACAACAACCGATCAGTGAAACGGACACAGAAATGTGTTCGCCCTATACCCCGCGGGGACACAGGACAAATATTTCTTGCACATACCTAATTTCACACTTTTCCGCCAATCTTCAAAGTAATTATAAAGAGTATAAGTGGGTGACAATGACATTCAAATAGCTGAATCCACGACAAAGGGCATTTAAAATCAACGCCGAACCGTAAAATTCCACTTCGAATCCCCCTTTCCTCATTAAAAATGCTTCAGCTCAAAATTCAGCCGAAAAGTATGAAAATCAAGACAATAGGGCGGGACTATTTGAGTGTTCTCGAGGGGGCAAGTAATAGAGAACTGCTATTATTCCTTCAGAAAGTGTACCTGGGGCCCGAGTGTACTCTATAGTGCGTAGTACCTGCTACATCTGAGATTGAGCACGATTTTATACGTCGACACAATTGTATCAACTTAAAACATGGTAGGGGAATCCCTTTAGGGTCTATACGCACTAGCCGGTATGCGCAGAATGTGGCAAACCAAAACGTAAAGTCGGGCTATCGTCGTTGGGTCGCACCGATCGAGAAACTTTTCATAGATATTATTGACGCTATTTTTGAATAGTCATTGCATATACGGTAAAGCGGTGTCATTTTCATTGATACAATTATATAACTAAACTATTAGCTTAAATAAAACGCTCTCAACGGTTTAACACGGGAAATATATTTGTTATAATACATTTTTATTGAAATGTGTAATAATCGTTAGTTCTGTGTCAGCGTATTTTACTGAGAAAGTGAAAACGGTTTTCATTTTATTAAAATAACACCTTCTAGAGAAAATGCGATTATTAATATAAGAGGGTGTTATTTAAGAGCCGTAAAGGGTTGCTTAATCCTTGAGTCGGGTAAAACGAAAGCACATTTTCCAGACGTACACAATGTGGGGAAAGCGTTAATAATTTAAACGTAAAATATATGGAATTTAGTTTATTAGAAACATAATCTTGGTCGTGGGTTCCCTATCGGGTCCAACATATTTCTGAACAAATTTTCTTTTAAATGTCACAAACCAACGTGCACAGATGTAGAACGCGTGATGTTTAATCGTGTTTCGATTTCAGTCTGTGGATTACATGTTTTTAATAAAAACCATAATGATACTTTTTAATTTTGCAATTAACTAGGTGGAAGCTAGTATAATCTTAAATTTAAATAAGTATACTTAGTTGATGTTAACGCACACTTAAACATGTCGGCAACGTCGAAAGTTTAAAAGACATTTCCAGGCAAGCTTAAACAGAATTTATCTCAACACTTTCACTAGAGCAAACTCTATTAAAATATAAAGCGCTTGCGTATTAATCCCGAACACTTTCTTATTCAGATTCTATCTTCAATGCCTCATTTCACAGCTAATAAACATCTGTACTTCGTCTAAAATAGGATGATAAGTTTAGCAATTGACAATAGGCAATGGTTAGATAGTAAAGGTCATTTGTTAATCTATTCGATTATTTATTTGTTATATAAAAGTTAAAATTTAGTTGGATATATACATACAGTAAGTACAGTTAGGCCGCTAGATGCAGAGTAGCCTAACTGCAATGTTTATGACTTGAGTATTTATGATTTCATATTCCAAAAATGTTAATCTACAAGTGCACAGTAACCGAAAATTATAAACGTAATTCTTATTCTTACAAATAATAGTTCAAATTAATTTTTGCCTAAGTGGTAAGTAAGGAAAATAAAAATGAGCAAGTAGCTCATTTTTATTTTCCTCCTTATTGGAAGTCGTGTTTTTTGTTATTAGGCCACTCTGTCTCTTGCAGCCTTATGCATACGTTCAATAAAGTGATATGGAACAATATTACCACTACCTCTAAATGTATGTATCATGTGCATAAAGTAAAATTATAAAGTTTTCAGAACAAATTTATAATTTATTCCCAAGGATATATACCGTTTATAAATAACAATATTTTAAGTTAAAAAAATAGAACAATGTTTCATATGCGTAAACATTGTAACTTATCATCCTAAATAACACAAACTATAGCATTCAACGAAATGAGTTTCTTTCCACAATTTTCTGCTTCACAACGTGCCTTTTCACACATCGTAGGGCTTTTATGTCAACATAATATGTGTCCTGCGAAATAGTTGTACTATTTAGTACCAGCAAATGTGTACTGGTTTGGAGGGAATATAGTGTAATTCAATTTGCTTGATCGATGAGGAAAAAGCTGATTATTACCATAATTTTTACACAAATAATAGTTTAATTCATTTGTTCAAGTTCAATCTCAGTTGCCTTCTTATTGCTATTAAACCAACCTGTCTCGCAGCACCATATATGTATATAAATTAGTAACATATTTCTGTTTCATTGGACGATTTTATTTATCGGCAAATTTAGAGACAGAACGAAACAATTAATATTTTTATCGAGATTCAAATCCAGGACCTCGCTTGGGCCTGATCCTTAGGGTTATTTACAAATGTCACCGGACGTGCCGACCTTATTGTCCAACTTGTGACCATTGTCAACGCTTAATGATGAACATGACAAACATTTTTCGATCTCAACCTTAAAACAATTGTTGCAAGGTAAAAAATCCTTTAACGAGTGTCGGCAGCGTAGCGAAGGTCAATTTCGCGCCCCATGAAAATTAATTGTTGTCTTACATTTCATTAAGGATAATTACTATTTCCTAAGCCGAAAAAATATGTCAAAGATGTGAAAATAATAATTTTGCTATTACTAGGGTGGACATGTGAAATTACATAATATATTGAACGGTAAATATATTTAAATAAAACACTTTAACGGTTTAAAACGCGATATATTAGTTAAACTTATTTGAAAATGATTTTTAACTTCGGCCCGACGTTTCGGATGCTTTGCAGCAGCCGTGGTCACGGGGAGACTGTAAACATAGTTTTACGACCAAAGTAAGAAATAGTTCGTCATAACATCCTTTTGTCATAGGCGTCTAAAGATTATTTAGAAGTCCATGGCAGGCATCTGAAGAGCTGTTTTCTATAGAGGCGTACAATATTTATATTATATTATTCTTTCACACAGATTATTACAGAGTGCCAGACTTATCCGTTACATTTAACTGCATATTAAACTTATTGTAAACTCTTTCTAAAAACGAAGGTTCACCATTTACTACACTTTTGACGTTTCTGAACTAGTAGATGGTAAAGGAAATGATAATGCGCACTTCGCACTACCAATGATAGTTCATTCTAGTGTCTGTAGCCTAAACCACCCCAGTCATTTTAATAAAATTTTACAAATATATTCTGAATTTTCCAATCCATATTAAAATAAATTTAGCTTTCTACGTTAGCCACAACAAATAGGGTTTAATCTCTAGAACATATTACATACACATTTAAATAAAATACATTTTTAAAATTCTTTTACTTTTTTACAATATATTTAACGGCCGAATGTAAAAAATGACTAACTTATTTCGCGTTTTAATCCGTTAAGTTTTCTTTGTAGATGTGTTGAACACCTCTTATCTATAAGATCTTGATATGTTAATTAATTAGGCCAATCCCGGCGGCACTGCAATGCCGGGCCGACCCGCGACAGGAGTGGAGCGAGCCCCGAGCATCCCGTCAGCTTCCAAAAATCAGTTTAATATACTGGTCCCGCGATGCGGGAACTTTCAGATATTAAGCTGAAAAGAACAGATACTACACTTTGATCTTAGCCAAAAGGCCGAGAAGCGATACTGTGAATTTGTTGTTAGGGGCTTTTATTACTTGTGAATATAACTTTATCATCGTGATTTAGAAATTATCGTAACGGGGCAGCGACATCTTGTGGGAAAAAAATAAGACTTTGACTGAGTTGATAAATCATCGTATTTTGTAGGTTTTTGGGTCGAATTTATTTACAACATTAATTAAAACACAAAATAAATAATAATTGATTTAAAAATTATTATTTCAATATTGACTTATATTATGCCAAATGTACATACATGCATTATTCAACGGTAGTACAAAATCAATTTTATTTTGAAGTGGTAATATTTAAATAAAAAAAATTATAACGGTTTAAATTTTAGTTAATTATGTATTTTCAACTTATTTTAACAACGGCCCATTAGAAACATGTTTACAAATATATTTCACATTTTAAACGGTTAAAAGTGTTTTATTTTAATGTGTACCACTCACATAAACTGCTTTAGTGAGGCACCATTAATTTTCTTCTCAGTATTGAAATCAAATGCAAAATTATTATTATCATGGGACAGATCGCTCACGCTTAGGAAAACTAGGAAAAATTCAGGATCACAACTATCCCGTGGGAAATCATGGGAAAAGGGTCATTTCATAGCGGCTTAACAGATCTCCTGACACATATTGTGGTACAACTTTTGCAATGCCGATGGAATAGAGTTTTATTAAAATGTCCCAACTTTGTATCTATGCTAACTTTAAACATATAAGGTTAACAGATTTTTTATGATATAAAATCAGTGATAGCACTAAAGGGGGTTTTCTCTGCCCTGGTGTAGTACCTACCATTCGAAACCCAAATTTTCTATTCTAAAAATAATTTTACAATGACAAAGTACAGTCTATAAATTATATGATAAAGTTTCACAAAACAGAGCCCCAATTTATCGAGAATTAATATTTACCGTCGACCTTGGTACCCGAAATGGTTGTTCTAAAAATATAACGCATCTCTAATTTTTTTTCATTTCATCATTTATTATTATTTTGTAGCATATATATGATAAAATTTATACACATATGTAAGGAATAGATATCATGTGTGGATAGTTACATCAAAATTATCCTCTTCAGTAAAATAATTTAACGGTTTAAAACGTCAAATATATTAGTTAATTGATTTTTTGGCTGACGAATCGGATGCTTTCAGGTTTCAGCTGAAAAGCTGCAAAAAGTTTAAATAAATTGTGAATACGTTATTAATATATTTCGCGTTTTAAACCTTATTAAAGGAAATTATAATTGATTAAATGTTGTGTCTCTCTACAGTGCCAATTATTTTGATTACATAGGTAATATTTAAATAAAACATTTTCACCGGTTTTAAACTAAAAAAAATAGTGATTTGTTTTTAATGTATTTTGACAAGGGTCCGACATAAAAACTCGCTTAACATTAATATATTTCACGCTTAAAACCGTTAAAAGTGTTCTATTTAAATTTTAAATGTGTACTGCTCGCGTAAAATACTGACAATACTCACCCTCTTAAGTTCATACTTAAAGTTTAGACAATTGTGCGCGTTTTACCCTACCGTGTAAAGAACTAAATAACAATTTTAGACGCAACAGCAATGATAGCTCAATATGTTATAGGACTGGGTGTTTCAGCTTCCATCAAGTGGCTCTCATGCTTATCTGTCCTGCTGTGTCATAAAACAAGAGATTGACGAGTTTTGTGCGTGGGTCACTTTTCTCATACGATTTTCCACTCGAACCGCGATAAAACAGTGAGTGAAAAGCCTGCAGTGAGCAGTCTGCACTGCAGTGACGCTTGCCAAATAGCGTCGACAGGATGCGTTCATGATTCATATCCCTCTTCAATTAAAATACATTGCTGCATCCTCGCTGCACTCAATTATAATAACAAAGTTGTAACAAAATCAATTAATTCATATATTTTACGTTAGTTTTTATAAATATACTAGCTGTCTTAGCGACTTCGTCCGCGTAAATTACTTAGTTATTTTGGGCGTAAAATGTTAGTTTTGCAAACCTCCTTAATTATACCTGTTACACGACGTCGTTCTCGCAAGTTAATCCAAAAAGATAGAAATATACTGTCGCGGATATTTTTATATCATTTAAAGAAAAATCATTTTATCATTAATTTTTTAAGGTATTTTGATACATTTCGATGGATAATTTTCACCGCTTGTTCCACATTTTCCATTGTTCCCTCGCTCCCATTGATCGTAGCGTGCTGTTTTATAGCCTAAGATCAAACAGATAGACACTTTTACATTTATAATATAGAATTATATTTTATGAGCTTGTTATTGCATTGGTAACATATATATGTACCAAAGTTTTTGGATGACGGCTTGTACCTAACGCCCATGGCGTAATATTTTTTTCCAACTATATAGATTTTTAAATTATATAATGTCATCATATTGACTTTTTTAAATACTTCTTAATTTTATTTAAAATTAGATTATCACACAATACAATACAAATATTCTGTTATGTCACAAACAAAACAACAAAAAACAATATGTAAAAATTGATGGAAATTAAGCAACCGTGGTAGAAATGAACATTCAGTAATAAAAAATGATTGCGTGACAGCAAAAAAGGACTCTACCTACTTACTAAAATTAATAATAAACAATAATACAAAATGAGCTTAACCTAAAAATCATTAATTACTATCTTAACTAAGTTACTTTCTACTTATTACTTCTTACTACTTATCATCTCTTAATATAAAATATTTTAAATTCGTTAATTTATTTTTAACATACTACTACTACTGACTCATAAAAATAATGATCAATACATATATTTTTTTCTGATCTGTATAGCTTTAAATATTAAGCAATATTGTTTATGTATGCCTACAAAGTAGTGAGTTAGTACCTTCATTCATCCAGCACTCGGTAGATTCGTTCTAATTAAACACAAAGGAGCATTGGTAAGTTGTCGTCTATATACCAGCATAATTACTTTTTTCTCAATTCCTCACAAACAAAATTTCTTTGAACCCTACCTCGAGCTCAATAGCAAAGCAGTTTATGCGAGACGCAATTAAACTCTTTAAAACTTATGATTAAGCGTTAAACACCATTATAAACTTTGAAACTTGCAGACGTTATACAAACGAGAGAAGTGCGAGATGAAGGACGAGTTTCTTCACATCTACTTACTTAACTACGTAAAAGTTAAAAATGTCATCGTAATAAGCATTGTTTTAATTATGACTTGACGTTTAATAAATATATAGGCTGAAGAGTTTGTATGTATATTTATTCCTTAGAAAGCGCTAGTCTCAGGAATTTTGGATTTAAAAAAACTGTGTTGGTTACGTCACGCTCAGACGAATAGGATCAAAGCAACAGAAAAAATGTGGAAAATGGGGAAATAGGGAATCTAAGAGGGCTTCCGTTTCAAAAACGATCCAAGATACCCTAAAATTATTATAAAGAATTATTTTTTTTTTTTTTTTTTAAGTAGGCTTTAACCTAACTAGGTTATGTCGCCCAATGATACAAAATTTACAATTACAATACCGAATTAATAAAATATCTACACTCTAAACATAACTACATAGCCTTATGATATAAGTTTAGTAGCATCCTAGCCTCCCCCGAAAATGGAAAGGCTAAGACACTACCATACCACCCAACATTTTTAAAACAGATAGATTTACTAACCAATTGTCTATATGCCGCATTCCGTACACATTCCGACAAAACATGAGTGAGGTCTTCCACAACGTTACAATCTGTGCAATCAGGACTTGATGTTACTCTCATCAGATGTTTGAATTTGTTTGTCGGAATATGTCCGGAACGCAACCGCATTAAAGATACAACATCTCTTCTATTTAGATTATTGAAAATGTACCACGGGTGAATTGGAGGGGCACATACAATCGTATGATACCAGATACCCTTTGTGAGAGACCTCTCATCGAAATAAACATTCCACATACTTCGACAATCTTGTTTCACCAAAAAAAGTACCTCAGAATATGTAGGTCGCCCATATAATGAAACTACTCCCCCCGAAGTCTCACCATTTAACACAGCATATTTAGCCCAACGATCAGCTTCTTCATTACCTTCAATGCCAACGTGTGATGGTATCCACTGAATTTGTACTGTTTTATTTTTAACTTTTAATTTGCAAATAGAGTCCAAAATGGAATAGGCTATCGGGAGCCCTCGATTCCTCGAGGGTAACCGAGCCAAATGAAATAACGCGCTTTTAGAGTCCGATAAAATTAAAAACTGAGAATTATTTACAGAATCAACATATGATAATGCTTCAGCAATTGCCATCAACTCGCAGTGCATAATAGAAATATTTGAATTTAACTTAACTGGTAATTTAATGTTTAACTGAGGATCAAAAAAGGCGGCTCCACATCCATCTTCAGACTTGGACCCGTCTACAAACAACATATAAAAAGATCGAAACTCACTATTTAAAAGATTAATACATATTTGACGTAAATTTACTGTGTTAAATGATTTTTTATTTCTCGAAATTGCCGCAATATTAGGCACAATATTTTTTGAAGTATCAATGTAACTAGTCCACAAATCTAAAGAGAAATTTTCTGCCAATGGCTGTGAATAAACTGAAACGTTACAATATTTTTGATAAGTCTCAATTAACAATGGTTTTTTCTTATGAACCCAAAAATGATTATGACACAAATCATTTAATTCATCTAAAACACTAATTGTAACGTTATTGATAATAGCTCTGGATTTTAAGTAAAATTTTGCTGCCAAATATTTGCGGCGAATTTCTAAGGGTTGAAGACATAACTCAGATTCCATAACATGGATTGGAGTACTTCTAATGAAACCTCCAATTACCCTCATGGACTGATTTTGAATTTTCGTTAACTTATATAAATGACTTTTTATGCTATTATCATACAAAAAACAACAATAATCTAATCTACTACGGATAGTAGAAATATAAAGATTCCTCAAATGTTTTGTATGTACACCCCAATTCAAACTCGCTAAAACTTTAAAAACATTTAAAAAACTTAATGTTTTCTGCTGTAATAATTCAATATGTTGACCCCAGCCCAAGCGTCTATCTAAAACCATTCCTAAATATTTAACCGAATCAACTCGTTCAATATTGAGATTATTAATTTTTAAATTTATATTATCATACTTACTATCTCTACGACCTCTATGAAATACACAAAATTTAGTTTTCCTCTGTGAAATATCCAATCCAATATCACCCAGAATACAATTAAGCATATTCAAAGCCTCTTGAATTGTGTTTGTCATTTCAGATACATTTTTATGACCAAAATAAACTACAATGTCATCGGCATACTGTGATATAAAAACATTATTAAACTTAGAACATATATCTATGGATGCCACGTTAAACAATAATGGAGATAAAGGGTCACCTTGAGGCAATCCCATTCTAGCGACTCGTGTTATAGATTCCTGACCTACGTCTATTGTTAAACGTCTAAAGTGCAAAAATTCCCAAAGATAACCACAAATCTGCGATCCTATTCCCAGACCTATCAATTTATTAAGCAGACTAACTAAACTTACATTATTATATGCATTATTTACGTCCAAAAAACAAGCTAATGTAGGGCAACCTTTTGTAAAATTACACTGTATTCGAGAAACTAATCTTGTTAGATTATCAGCGCATGATCTAGCCTTACGAAACCCAATCATTTCATTAGGAAATTTAAAGTTTTTTTCTAAATACCATTCTAATCGTCTATTAATTATAGTATGTAAAATTTTACACAAACATGATATCAAAGCTATAGGTCTCTTATCCCCATTATTGACACTCGATGATTTAGGAATCGGAATAATTCTGATATCTCGCCACTGATTCGGTACAAAGTTTAAATCTAAAAAATAATTATACAATAAAATCAAAAAATTCTTTCCTGTTTCAGGAAGGTTATTAACCATAGAATAGGATATATCATCGAAACCAGGTGCAGAGTCCGATCGTTTGACAGCATTGTTTAATTCTTGCAGTGATATAGGAATAGATAAAACATTATTATTTAACCCAAATTCTGGAGATTGAGGTGTAACTTGAGCAGGGGTCAACTTACATAACAACTCATATGCCTTTTCACGAGAGATAACATCTTTTGCTGCCACATTACCTTTAAACCACTTCATTTTAGCCCACATGTCATTAGTGGATGTAACACTGTCAATATTGGTACAGAATTCCCGAAATGATTTAAGATAACCCCTACGAATAATTGAGCGGGCACGCTTTATTTTGCAATTAAGTAACGTTAAATTATCTGGCGTTGGATTTCGCCTAAACTCAGCTAAGGCTCTCCGTCTTTCAGCTACAGCTTTAGACATATCTTGATTCCAGTACGATTTTGGCGAAAATTTGTGCTTTCGGACAGGGTCCTCACATATTTTGGTAACAGGAATAGCAGTCTTTGCTGCATTATCCATAATATCAATAAAATTATTATACGATAACTGAAGATTGTTTACATCTAAAATGTATTCTGCAAATTCCTTTGCAGCATTATCTTTATAACGAAGCCAATCACTTTGCCGAAAATTACGTTTTGCTCTAAAATTTAAAGATCTTGACATCTCCGTATTTATTTTTATCATTAAATGATCACTACCCAAAGATTCATTTAATACAGACCAATTAAACTTTAAAGCTATATCCGCAGAAATTAAAGTAACATCAGGAGATGATTTTTGTACCAAACCATTGACTAACTTTATCCTAGTGCAAGATCCATCATTTAAAGATATAAAATTTTTGTCAATCATAGAATCAAATATATATCTTCCCCTTACATCAACCTTAGTTGACCAGTTAGTGTGGTGACCGTTTAAATCGCCTGCAATAATAGTTTTCTGATCTACCAATGAAAACAACTCATCCCAATCACTAGAAACAGTTCTAACGTTCGGGGCACAATAAACAGAAATAACATTTTCTATATGACCACAGTTCAATATTTTTAAGTGAATTATTTCAATCTGTCGGTTTGTTAAATGAACATGACGCACTTGAGTTGTAATAGAACGATGCGTAATAACAGCTACACCTCCATAACCATCATCACGATCTCTTCTAAAAACATTAAACTGACTGATATTGTATTGACTGCCCGAAACCAACCAAGTTTCACTAATTAATGCAATATGAATTTTTTCCTTAAATAAAAAGGCTTCAAATTCCATTTTCTTCGGGCGAATGCTCTGAGCATTCCATTGTAGCACGTTTATTGAGACATTTGAGGCCCTGATGTCCATAATTGTTTAAAAAAATTGCAAATCGGCCAATCTCCAATGTATTGTTTTAAAAACGATATAACTCCTTCTATGATAATACTCCAACAACCTTTAAGCTTATCCGCTAACGCTATATTCTCTTTATCAAAAAATGCATCCTTCAGCCTTTTAAGTAGTATTTGCCAAGAAATTTGATCATGCAACGATCTAGAACTTTGCGATTTACATTTTTCTCTCCCTTCACTAATGGTTTCCTGTACATCCTCATCAGAACCTTCTTCCGAAATGTAGTCCATTGACCAATTATGTTTCCTCTTCCCTTTCTTATTTCTATTCTCATTCCCTAAATCTTTTACAATCGCCGCTCGATAATCTTTACTTGTACTCGGTTCAACAGATCGAGTACTCTCTTTTACAGATGGGTCTTCAATATTGTTAACAAGATTTGGAAATTCTTCATCCCGACTTAGAAAAACATTAGAAGGAGGGGTATATAACATAAGCGCCTTTTTATATGAACAATTAAACTCGGACATCAGATCTCGTATAGTTTTTTCTTTTTTAAATACAGGACAAATTTTAGCCATCGCCATATGTCTCCCGGAGCAATTATTACATTTAAATTGGGTAGTATCACAATTAGCATGGTGCTTAGTACACTTAGGACAAATTGTTTTTAAAGATGGACACATGTTTAGAGTATGACCAAAACGCCAACAACGAGAACATTGAGTCACTGGAAAGGTGTATGAATGTACCTGCGTTCTCATATCATAAATATAAATATATGAGGGTAACGAACTTCCTTTAAATGTTACTCTTACAGATTCCCCAAGTTCCCAATGCCCATCTTTACTGTTCCTTCGTTTTAATCGTTTCACCCCCAAAATTTCCACATTTCCGCTTAAGCCCTCCATTACCTCCTCGTCGTTTAATTCCATATCGATGTCATGAATAACACCATAAGATTGATTTATATCTAAAGTTTTCTGAACCTTATAACCACCCTCATTTAACTTTTTTGATTGAAGTATCGTTTCTGCACTAACCTCACAACTAAATTGAATAATTACTTTGTAACTATTGACGTATTTCACTCTTATAATATTTTTAATATTTTCACTTTTCAACAACTTCGCCAAACCAAATTGCTTTGGCAATTTTTCCGTACACGTTAAGCTAACTTCAATTAAATCCTCTGCAATTCTTACTAAATCTCCCTCCTGACTCATTCTTCCAAATCTCTTAGACTTCCTCGACACTACGTTCCACACCTCCTCTGAATCTTTTTCCCGGCCTCTTTTTGGGGGTCGCTCCTGCTCCTGTTCCGTCATCTCACTATTTATAAAATCACCTTCACATATAATCTCGCTCTCAATTATGCCACCACAAATATCTGACTCCTCTAACTCCAATTGTACACTCTCTACGCCAACATCGCTATTTGTAATCATGTAACAATAACATGAAAAAACGTCTATGTAAAAATAAACAACGCGCGACGCGTCCTACTGTCAGCGCGCCCGCGCGCGCAGTGAAAGAATTATTATTCATTAAATAATAAAAAAAAACAAATTCGTGACAGTAAATGTTTATCATTTAAGATTAACTTACAAAAAGTTTTTATTGTTTTATCTACTTTTTGTCGAAATGGATTATGACAAAAGCATGTTTGCACTTCTTCGTAAACCTAGCCGTTATAAATTCTAGTATCGAGCAAGATATTTAAAACAAAGCTATCACATAAGCTAGTTCATAAGTTTGTTTAGGATACCGTCCCATGTCCCAGCACTATCGGAGTGTGCGACGCGCGAAACTCAAACATAAGGATAAACCTATTTTAGGAATGCTGAATTAATTTCGTTTGAAACTAATTGTAATGGTATCCTTTGTTTTCCTTATAAACGCTAACAGTTTGTTTAGGGAAATGCTGTTTTAATAGTCAGGATACGGGTATCTTCGTTAACATAATTAGATCAACTATAAATATTTAAAACTAACTGACCTGGCAAATGTTTTTAAACGAAATTTTAATATTGTGAGGTAATCTAAAAAGATAGTAAAACTATGTCGGGGAAATTTTTCATAAATTATTTAAACAAATTAATTATTTCTGCGCAGAAAGACTCACAATTCGAACCAGTGGTTCGTGAGATAGGCGCGTTCAAACAAACAATCTCTTCGGCTTTATAATATAACCTATAGGTAATCCTTAATTGGTTAGAAAAACAGCACGGAACGCCGTGAATGCCTGTTTGAGTAACGACAGTGTCGTAATTTTTTAAATATGAAACCAATGCGATCAGCATTGGTTTCATATTTAAAGCGGTTTTAGATGAAACCTTTGAAAGTTTAAAGTTTTCGCGTAGTCGGGTTTATGAATAGCAGAACAACAAGTTGCTATTGTATCAAAATGAAGTTAGGAATTGAATAAAGTTCGTTGACCCGGCTGAATCAGACGTCAGAGCCGCCTGGCCTCTGAAGCACTCCTAGCACCCCGTCGACACTGCGGCACCGGTTAGTGTTGTCGCGAATATATCGATGTTTTACTAAATTCAAATTGTGAGAAGCAAAATATGATATAATCTGACTATAAATGTTAAGAGGAAAGTTTCACCAACCAACATCTTTCCAAATTGCCAATCCTTTAAAATAATCTTTGAGACACAAAATGCAGCCTATTTTACTATAGGTTAAGGTTATGTCATCGTTCTGTTAAATAAATAAGTACTCAATCCTTTTTTTTATTATACCATTTTATTGCGCATAATTTATATTTTAAAAAATGTTCATATGGAAAATACAACACGTGAGTGTCGTCGGTAATTTAGGCGAGAAGTACACATTTAAATTACTCTTAACGGTTTAAAACGTATTTGCGTCGAGCCGAACATAAATTACCTAGAACATTTCTCGTTTTAAACCGTTAAAAATGCTTTTTAAGCAGTCTAATTAAATTAATAATAGCACATGAAAAATATTTCTTAACTTTGTCTTAAATTAATAAATATGTATGTATTAACTAGTGATAGCTACTTAACGAAATTAAATACTGTTTTAGATGTTATAGTGTATTGCTTGGATTATACTTTTGTAAAATAAATTATGTTACTAGTTACGTATAAAGCAAAAGTTATATAACACGTAAAATATGGTCTGCCAAACTTTTGTAAAAGGGTTACTTTATTTAATTTAAATAAAACACTTTAACGGTTTAAAATGCGATATATTAGTTAAACTTATTAAAAAATGATTTTAAACTTCGGCCCGACGTTTCGGTTGCTTTGCAGCAGCCGTGGTCACGGGAGACTGTCTCCCCGTGACCACATCCGCTGCATAGCATTTTCAATAAGTTTAACTAATGTATCGCGTTTTAAACAGTTAAAGTGTTTTACTTAAATGTGTACTACTCGCGTAAACTATAGACATTATTTAACTTGATTTAAGTCAGTTAACGCCCCTTTCCAATACATTTTCCTAAGATGGGCATCTAATAAATGAACTCCCCACTTATTCCTGACGTATTGTCTTAAAAATATTGACAGCGCATTACTTATAAGTGTCTCTCGGCATTCTATCGATGTCGATAAAAACGAGTGGACCTCCCTTATAGAGCGCCATGTTTCATCTCTCTGTTTAAATGACCAGATAGAGGCTGAATGGTTGCGTTGTAGTGAATATTACCTACTTTATGACCGGCAAAAGTACAGATGTTATTAAGTTGGAAAGCTTGTGCTATGAATCAGCGAAAGACTCTTTAATGCCCTAAGTTCAAGCTATTAGAATTAGTATATACAGCTCAATTAACTCCGTGAAGAAGTCAGAGTTCGAATTTCGGGGAAGCAAAATGGGACCTGATAAGGTGAAATGTGAAATGTATTTTTTGGATACTAAACGGCCTCTTAATTTTAAAATTGGTAAGCCTATTTAGCCTTTGGATATTCGGTAAACCCCAGAAATTGATTAGAAACACGTTAGACCCGATGGGGATCGAATCCACGACGTTGCTTAGTAGCCATACATTGCTATCATTACAACAAAGAGTCTTTCTCGAAGTCTGTACTATAGTTCACGCGGGTTAAACTGAAAAATATATTAGTTGCTTAGCAGCGCCCATGGATTTTTCGATACAAAATACAGTAATGCACTTATCAAGCCACGCAGAGACGACTAGCGATGCGAAAGACGAATCTATACCAATATATGTAAATGAAGAGTTTGTTTATTTGTTTGAATGCGCTAATCTCGGGAAGTACTGGTTCGGATGGAAAAATTATTTTCCTGTTGGTTAGAGCGTTTATCGATGAAGGCTATATGCTACCTAGAAAAACATCGCGAAACGACTTATAGGACCGAAGTGGGACAAAAAAAAAGTTAAAAAAAACGCCGTGTAAAAAAACATTATACCCAAAAAAAGTGAAGTAAAGAATGATTCCTCCTTAAAAGATCTAAAATAAAAGTCCGCGCCAGTTTATGTTACTTTGTCTTTGTAAATTAACTTGCAAGAACGACGGGGCGCGAGCCACGTGGGTAACAGCAAAATGTAGAGGAGGTTTGCAAAACCAAATTCAAAGCCTATAATAACTATTCTACGCGGACGAAGTCGCTGACACAGACGAGACTTTTAAATAAAACCGATAAAGTTAAAACGCGATATATTAGTTAAACTTATTTGAAAATGATTTTTAACTTCGGCCCGACGTTTCGGATGCTTTGCAGCAGCCGTGGCCACGGCTATTATATCGCGTTTTAAACCGTTATAGTGTTTTATTTAAATGTGTACTACTCGCGTAAACTACAGACAGTATTTAACAGACGAGATTCTTAGCCAGGCGGTGAAACTGTGCAATGCATTAGTGTCTTGAAGTATTTCTTCTTTATCTCCGGTCGGAATAAACACAACGCCAAAAGCTGAAGAGATAATTAAGCGTTTGTAACCTATTTTTATTCTAGACCATGTCCTTAATTAACTGCTATAGAAGTTTGAAAAGGGACGGAGGGAAAAGCTGAAATGGCACATAAATAAAAATTGAAAAGAAATGAAGAGGCGTTTCAAAAAAGTATTAAACGAAAAAATTTGCTACCCCGCGAGATTTACATAATCTGAACGTAGTCGAGGACGATTTTTTTATATGAAATTATTTATTTAGTCCCCCAGATAGGGCCGGGGTAAGTCGAGGGTGGATTTAGGTGTACATTTTTATTGGCTCCTTTCTGAAATGGGCTGAAATAATGTGGGATTAAGCAATTGCTTAATCCCACATTATTTAACATGTAACATGACAGATAAATCTATCTGTCATGTTACATGTTAAAATATTTATTACATCTCACGCTTTAAGAAATATACTTGTATTATGTTTTATACATTACCAATGCTTTTAAAACACTCATTTGACTATTGAAGTATACTGTATCAAAAGTAAAAAGGTCTGTATAATATGTTAAAAATTTTCTTTCTATCATCTATCATTATTTCGTTATTCAAAGTGCCGATGCATGAAAACACATTTAAATAAAAAACTTTACTGTTTAAAACGCGAAATATATGTTTTTTTTTTGTTTACACTCATTGTTTACACGAACTAAAGAGAACACGAACTGAGACTAATTTAATACCTGTCGCATAAGGATGCGAAATGTGTATAGGTATGTCTGTATATCTACATTATTGCTAGACGTTGTATTGTATAAAGAAAACTTTGAAAGAAGATCTGTATGAGTTATGTACTTAAATATTTCGTACATGTACGTCAAATCAATGTATTTTCTACGCCTTTCGACGGATTCCAAATGTTAATTAACTACGACGACGACCGACGACTATCGCATAATACTATCATAAAAGAACAGATATTCTTCGAGAGAATATTTTTTATAAGGTAAACCTACTTTCCGCCTGTAGCCTAATGGTTAAACGTATTGCCTAGCATAGCATTGCGTTAAGTTCGAGAGGTCCTGGGTTCGAATCCCAGGGAACACAAAAAAATGTTTCGGTCGAGCACGGCACAGAAGTCTGATCAACTACTTACCTATTAAAGAACGGATCAGTGAGACGGACACAGAAATGTGTTCGCCCCATGCCCCACGAGGGGGAGACGGGATTTCACACAAAATAAACATACCTACATTAATGTGGTTTTCATATATACCACGCAAGAGGCTTTTATTAAAATCGACTTAGAATTTCAATGGTGAAACAAACAAGCATACTAGAAGCGAAATAATAAATTTCCTTTTGACTCCGTTGCCGAAAGTAAATACGAAAAGGTACAATAACAAACTAATAACATTTCTTATTGATGGAAATACGCCGTTTCTTTATAACTTCACCCCAAACCTAAGTGAGATACGAAATTGATATTACCTCCCAGAAAAAGCTACTTCTACTTAAGATAGAGTTATTTTTCCAGTTAAATAACTAAATAAACATTTAAATAAAACACTTTAACTT